TTTATTGATAGTGTAATTTGAGATTCCATTTCTTTACTACTAATCAAAGAAATGCGAGGACTATGTCCTCTAGTCTTTCATGCTTTTCACGTTAGAATTCAAGGCAAAATGCATGCATGCCAGAGAAACAGATCAAAGCTATCATATATATGGCATGCATTTCTCTCTATAAATATGTCTGCATCTTCCTTCGTTCAGTCTATAGCTAGGACTCCTTGAGACATTTCTCTTAAAAACACAAGCATCCTCTAGCGCCATTTTACTCTCATTAGTGAGATTTTGGAGTAAATCAAATGCAAAATCATATACTCTTCAAAAAGTAGACATGGTCAGGACTTTTAATGCCAATCATCGGACCACTGCACCATTCATGAGGTGGCGGCGACCACTGCACCTAGGCTGCTTGAGTGGTACGGCTACGCCGATATAGTGAGAACCGTAGTGCACAGTGGCATACGCTCGGAATGGAATGGGCGATATCAGAACAGGACACACCATCTCTGCCGAAGAGCTCCTGATGTCACAGATTAGAATGACTCGCAACCTTGGGATGGCTAGCCTTATAGACCTAGACTAATGTTTTCGACTAGGGTTTTGCTACCCCAAATAACTATGGACTGTTGATATGGATAGATATAATCACATATTACCTGAAATATCTTTTTTATATTTTGAGAAATGGTAACGTAAGCAAAATTTTAGGTAAAATATCTAGGGGCTTAAGTGTTTCTAACCCTGTTTTAAAGCGAAATGGTGATTTTGCCCTTGTTTTTTTTACTTTGTATTTTTACCCTTTGATTTGAAAGCGAAGGGAGACTTTACCCCTGTTCTGTTAAGTACACCTTATGGTGTTAACTTTTGGAGACAACTTTGCTCATGTTTTTTTATCCCTGCTTTATTTTGATATTTGTGTTTTTATCCCTATTTTTATATTAGCTATAAGGAAAAGGGGATCCTAGGCCCATTTACTTTGGATTTTGGTGTTTGATGACCAACACAACCAAATTGGACTAATAAATTTGCAAGTAATTGTTTTATAGTTCAATAGGATGCAAGACGTGACTTGGATGAAGACGACATGATGATCCCACGATCAACACCATAAGTAAGACCCTATAAGCACAAGAGAAGACCAAAGATATCAAGCATACTCCAAGCACGAAGATGGAAACCAAGCCGGACGCAAGATCACGAAGAAACGAGCTCGGCAGAGGTGACCGGACACGGCCCTTATAGGGACCGGACACGTCCGATCAGTTGCTCGGCAACTGCAGGTGTCAGCAGCTGTGACCGGATGCTGAGCGAAGCAGTGACCGGACGCACCGATGGCACTGTTCTTCGTCACGGCAATGTTTTCAGCATGACCGGACGCAGCGACACTGGACGACCGGACGCACAAAGTACAGCGTTCGATCGAGTCCAGAGAGGTTCCAGAGCGACACCAGCGCGACCGGACGCGTCCGATCGAGTGAGACCGGACTCTGCCCAGAGTCCAATCAACGCGCGCGCTCTAACGGTCGGGACGGCCGGACGCGTCCGGTCAGGACGACAGCAGCGTCCGGTCAATAGCAGAAAGCTAGGTTTCATCCCCAACGGCTACTTTCTCCATGTGACTTATAAATAAACCCCCCAACCGGCCATTTGATGTGTGGAGAAGTGAGGAAACATATCAAGGGTGTTGATACACCATTTTAGTGATCTACACTTGCATATTACTTAGTGATTCATTAGGTGATTAGTGTAGGTGCTTTGTTAAGTGCTTAGGTTGATTAGACCATCACTTATGCGCTTGCTCTAGGTTTAGGCCTAGTGTTTAGTGAGGTTTGCATACATCTTACCACTCGGTGCTTGCGCGCACCATTGTTGTACATCGGAGGAGCTTGTAGCCTTGCGAGATCACACCAACCACGTTTGTGGTGTGGCCGCCACCATGTACCGAAGGGAACAAGGCCCACAGCAGTTCGGTCAGAAGCTTGATAGTGAAGACGGCGGGGAGCGGTCCGAGAGAGACTTGCCGGAAGGCACACCGAAACCCACTTACGCGTGGTTGGTGCGGTGGTTCCGGTCAGTTTGGAATGACGGCCACCTTGATGACACGGTCGTCCAGGCATGAGAGCGAGCCGGACAGCTCAGCGTTGGTTGTGGCATGAGAGTGTTGCCTTGACCTATTTGCGCTTGACAAATCTGTTTGTTTTTGTTTGTTTGTTCAGATGTCATTTTCTCATCAGAAAATCTATCATCGAATGACAAAACACTCACTATTTTAAGGGCATTCGTTATTTATTGATAGTGTAATTTGAGATTCCATTTCTTTTCTACTAATCAAAGAAATGCGAGGACTATGTCCTCTAGTTTTTCATGCTTCTCACGTTAGAATTCAAGGGCAAAATGCATGCATGCCAGAGAAACAGATCAAAGCTGTCATATATATGGCATGCATTTTTCTGTCTATAAATATGTCTGCATCTTCCTTCGTTCAGTTTATAGTAGGACTCCTTGAGACATTTCTCTTAAAAGCACAAGCATCCTTTAGCACCATTTCACTCTTATTAGTGAGATTTTGGAGCAAATCAAGTGCAAAATCATACTCTTCAAAAAGTAGCAGTAGTGGTCAGGACTTCTTATGCCAATCATTAGACCGCTCACCACTACACCGGCCACGAGGCGGCGGCAACCACGACACCAGGATGACGCGGCCATATGATATATGGCCGCGCCGACGCCAACAGGGAGAGCTGCGGCGCACAGTGGCATGGCTACTCTTGTAGACCACCTAGACTGGTCACGGGTATTTCCGACTAGAATATAGGAATAGAATTTCCGTGACCGACAAAACCCTTTTCGAGACTTTTCGTGTCCGATTCTACCTAGACTTCCCATTTCCCAACTTGCCAAAGAACGAAACAGAATATACTATGGCCCCATTTAGTAGAGCACCCACCGGTTCGGCTTCTCTTACGCATTCACTCACTGTTCATAGGAGCTCCTTTTCTCTCATCTCTCCGTCTCTCACAAGGAGCAGGGGAAGCCAGTTTTTTTCATCTTATAGGACCATATTAGTTCTAAAAGTACAAATATATTGTTGTTTTAGTCTACATTGTTCCTCGATAATTATCAGACATGTTCAATTAAAAAATATATCATTGGATTTATTTTCGCTTTGCAAGTAAAATTAGCACATATATACATTATAATATTTTATACATAGTCTTGAGGGGTCGTCGCGACAAGTTCGCCTTAGGTCCCTCACAATCCTCGGACCAGCATTGGTACCTGGAGCATTCCTGTAAGCTGCTTGGGCCTTGTTTGCTTGCGATCCTAAGAAGTAGCCTATCACAGGTAGGTCCCTAATCACAGGCACCTCTGCGAAGCTGAGGCTCAAGAAATCGGTCATCTAGGCTCCAGGCACCTTTTGTAATCATGATTTTAGCTCTCGCTAGTCATCAGTGACCAACCAAACATCTCTAGTTTGCGTGTGCATGGGCAAGCAAAAAACCTTTTCAATCACAGGTAACTCAGATGCCGAGGCAAATAGACAATCCATCTAAGGTCTCAACCAAACATATCCTTAATAATGTGCAAACGAGGACAAGATTGCCCATAGACATACATAATGTCATATCTCAAACATCGGTAAAATTAAATTATATTGGCACCAGCACAGTTTCACAAGCTGAAATAACTAGCTTCATCAATCAATAATAGAATTATATAATGGTAGTATGATGATCTAATTAATCCCTATTTGCGGTTCAGCGTCCTGCGGTACTCTCCTGATTGCATTAGCGCCAACGGAACCTTTCCGATTAGAATTCCGTCTCCGAATCTGCCTAGAACGGACAAGACTTCCCGTGTCCTTGCTCAGAGCGGAACGCAATACACTATGGGCGTGATTGGTTGCAGCCAGGATGGCTAGGCTGTGCAGGATCAAAGAAGTCGGGTTGAGCTCATGCAAGTAGTTGTGTTTGGTTGTCTTTGCTGTTGATTCAGTACGAGATGAGATCATGTTTGGTTGCATGCATGCATCAAAGTTTTAAATGTCTGACACATGAGCACCTGCACCATGCGTGAATCAAACCGTCCTGCATGGAGAGGGAAGTGAAAATTGAGGGCGCGTTTGGTAGCCTGTATGAGGGCTGGGCCAGGCCGCTCGGATGCATGCGCTCGCGTTTGGTTGGCTGGACGGATCATTGGGCCAGGCTCACACGCTACTCAAAGCATGAAAGATGTTGCATCCAGAGAAACGCCAGAATTGGTCGCATCCGGTGAGCCAGGCTCGCGCGCTGTGCAAGATTAGCATAGCCAATGATGTTATTAGCACATAATTAGTGAATATTAAGTGATTTCAAATCAAATTAAGATTGAATTAGGTAAATTAAAATTTATTATGGCATAATACCATAAGTAATTAACATTTTAGCATTTATTTTGACATATTCATGTTACATGATTTGTACTCGTGCGGATAACCAAACAACTTCTCTTCCGAACCAGGCTACATACATACAAGGAACCAAACATAAGAGCCTGCATGCGATCAGCCTAGCTGGGGTGAGCCAGGCCCATGGATATGGACCAGGCTAGCTACATGCAACCAACCAAACATGCCCTGAGAAGACGGAGACGTGCGGGATGGAGGAGGACGGATGAACGAAACGATGCAGGCGAAAGATGCGAGCAAGAGAATCAAACACGGCCGCAATGCACCAAGTAATACCGGATGGGCCTTCGGACGGTATGAGCGGGGCAGCCAATCACGCCCTATATAATTGAAGTAAAATTAAAAGTTGTTCGTGGATGTTCGTGTTCCTCCTGTGCGGCCTCCTATAGTCCGATGTCCGTGTTCCGCCCGTGTGGCCGTGCCACGGCGTGCTTCCTGCTGGTGCTACTTGGCGTCCTCTCGTGCCTCCACACAGCCGCCTCGCGGCCCGTGCCGGCTGCAGGGCAGCCGCGTCACGGGCCTCGCCGACCTGAAGAGGTACCTGGCGAGGTTCGGGTACATGCAGCCGCCCCGGCCGGCGCACGAGCACGACGACGTGTTCGACGAGCACATGGAGGCTGCCGTGAGGCGGTACCAGTCCAGCCTCAGCCTGCCGGTCACCGGCCGGCTCGACTCCTCGACGCTCGGCCGGATCATGACCAAGCGCTGCGGCGTAGCCGACGGCGCCGACGACGGCATGTCCGTGTCCCTCTCGGCGGAGGCGGCGGCGGCTGGCACTGGCAGCCGGTTCACGTTCCTCGACGACCAGCCGTGGTGGATGCGGTCGCACCCGCGGGTCCTGACGTACGCGGTCTCGCCTACGGCCACCGTCGGCGGCTACCTGCCGCCCGAGGCCGTGCGCGCCGATTTCCGGAGCGCGTTCGCGCGGTGGGCGAGGGTCATCCCCGTGGAGTTCGTCGAGACCGACTACTACCACGGCAAGCCCGACATCATGGTGGGTTTCTACGAGGGCGACCACGGGGACGGCTCGCCGTTCGACGGGCGGTACGGCGAGTTAGCCCACGCGTACACCTCAGACGACGGGTACATCCACTTCGACGCGGCGGAGCACTGGTCAGTGGACGTGGGCAGTGACACTGACACGGGGGACTCGGCCGTGGACCTGGAGACCGTGGCCACACACGAGATCGGGCACATCCTTGGGCTAGGGCACTCGTCGTCGCCGGAGGCGATCATGTACCCCTATATCAACGCCATGCGAAGGAAGGTGGAGCTCAGCGCGGACGACATCGACGGCGTCCTGCTGCTGTACGGGTCCAACCCGCGGTTTAGGCACGAGCAAGCGCGAGAGCACCCCGCGCCGCCGCGGAGCGTTTCCTCTGTTGCGCCAGGAAGGAGCAGCTGGCTTCCTTGTTCAGTTAGCTTAGTTTGTATAGTTTTGGTCATGCTAGTGACACTTGTAAAATAGACATGTTTCTATAACGCGATTACGATTGCTATACTAGAATCAGTAGAATCTGCTATTTGGCTGTTCATGTCTTGCCAAATGTTTAGCCAGGCGGTCACACTAGTGAACCCACTACAAAGCCTAGCTGAGCACAACATTGAGTAAACAGATCATTATTCAAGTACACGCTCATAAAAGAATGATGGTGCTCGAAGTTGATTATCATTCAAGGCTTTTCCACTACAACTAAATGGTATAAAACAGACCAAACAGTTCTAGTAACAATTATCAAGGCTATAAATCTAAGATGCTTGCTGAGACAAATTCCACAAGGACCAAAATTCAGTGCAATCGAATTTGCGGCTCATCGCCACGAGGTTACCGAAGTTCAATCAAACGTAAGTCGGACCAGATCCGACGGTCTCGTAACCTATATCTATCTATACCTAATATTAAAATATTAAAGAGACAAACATCTTCTTCGCCTATTTTTTCATCCACCTCTTCCTAATTACTGTCTATTGAGTAGTGGAGAGTTTCTAGAGCACCTTCAAGAGTTCCCAAGAATTTATTTCCAAAATCATGGAATTTTCTAACTCGCCAAAAAGTATTGGAGGAATAAATAAGATTATCTCCAACACTTTCCAATAACTCAATACTAAAATATAGAAGACAATTTTACATCTAAAATCCTATATTATATCTAAATTATCCTAACCACTTTTATATATTATTTTTATCTTTTACATTTGCATCAGAAACCCTTTTTCTACTTTTTATTCTTTCCCCGCTATTCCACCTTTATATTGGCCGAAGGATATGGGCGTTTAGGAGAAGATAGGCGCAACCTAGACTGTGCACATCTTTACGCGTAAAGGGGGGTTTTTTCAAGTGCCAAAAGATTGGGAGGTGAGTTTGTGAGTTGTTGGAGATGGATTTTTTCCATTCTTCCCAAAAATCATGGACTGAGAAAGATTTTGGGTACTCTTGGAGATGCTACGCACGAGTGGATTTTTTTACCGAATGCCAAAAGATTCGGAGGTGAGTTTGGAAGTTGTTGGAGATTGATTTCTTTTCATTCTTCCCAAAAATTATGGATTAGGAAGGATTATTGGGTACTCTTAGAGATGCTCCACATCCTAATTTCTTTTACTTCTCAAACTGCACTCACATCCTTCACCTCATATTTTATCCAGACTCCTAACTCATACTCATACGAGTTATGACAACTCGCATCTAACGATGATGAATATGAAGTCTGATTCCAATACATATTGGGTCATGCCCTATGTATGTGGCAGAACCGTTCGAAATAACACACCTTCGGAGGCGCTCGTCTTTCACCGGACACTAAGCACCCTGAAAGCAAGCTACATCGGACGGATTCCGTCAAGCACACCCTAAGGGAGAACTCGAATAATCCACGTTTTTTCTCCAGGATCCAATAATGAGAACGAGTTTACAATACTTAGTCCATTTCATACAACCAGCGTTCTTAGAAATACATTATTACAGTACCAAGTTCAGAGTGCGGAATTTAAACAGCGGAATTACAATAAACATCTAACGGTAGAATACAAGGATCCGTCTATGCCCACTAGAAGAATCCTCCACACAACAGCTACTCTTCAAGCTGCACCTGCAAGGGGTAAATAAACCCCTGAGTACATAATGTATTCGCAAGACTTACCCGACTAGTGGGAATAATTTCCCGACTCCAAAGGATATGATAAGCTTTATGGGTTGCTGGATTTCCTTTTTGTGAAAAGCAATACTAGTAGTGAATCCTTATGCATGTTTCTTATTAGCAGTCATGATTAGTTCATTATCTAACCATTCTAGGTAAGCAAATATTCTACTTTCAAGCAAGAGTTGAGCAAACATATCCATTTCACCATCTTTTATCTTCCAGTTCTTACTACGGTGCTAGATTGTAGACAAGGCATACCGGATTACTCGGTGATTCATGAATCAATGTGCCCAGCTGGGTACCCTGAAACACATGCCCCGCTTATACCCTAGGCATAAACAGGACCAACCCATCACTCTCCTGTCAAGGGGTCTAGGTCCCCGTCCAAACTTGGACTCTAAGCCCCCATACCTGAGTCCCGGACTCATTGTGGTGCTTACACATCCACCATCCCCGCCTCCAATCAGTCGGTCTAGAAAGAGCCGGAACCCATGACAAAAGAGCAACGAGCCTTTTCTGCTCCCATAAAAAGTATGTGCTCAGGATAATAAGTATGTGACCTGACTAGAATCCAATGCAACGGACGATTCTTAACCGACATGGACAGGGAAAACAGTGTAACCAAGCTATACCCTGTTGGCCGCGGGACACAACCTCTTACACCCACCAATAGTCGTACCATATCCCTGTCCGGTCTCTATTTCTTTTCACCATTTTATCATGAGAGTGATAATAATAATCACCTATTGTGAGTAACGGCAGGTTACTCACGCTACCGAAAAACCTAAGCATAGTAGCTACTCGACCTAAGCTAGTAGGACTCATAGTTAGGTATATCTATGCATGTAGTTTCAATATAAATCATGTAACGTAATTGCACATCATATATATATTTCTAGTGATTATTCAAAATAAGGGTTATGCACCGGGCTTGCCTTGGGCAGGCGTGGTGTCAGCTCAGTCAGTCAGTGGTGGCTCCAGAACCTCCTCCTGCACGAGAATCAACTCCTCGTACTCTTCAATCACCTCCTCGAACTCATGATCTCCGATGGTCACGATCTCCACCAACTCGTTCTCTACATGCATGCGATGATGATGCAACACTTTGCATTTCGGCAACAGCAACTCTTAAAATAAGAATACACATGGTAAACTACTAAGCTAACTCTAGTGACTAGGATACTAAGCTAACTATCATGTTCATCAAGTAAAGTGTTGGGTTCAACTAACAAACACCTAGCTTTACAAATGAAGAATATATCTTTATTTCTACTAATGATTTAATGTATATTTGAAACAAATAGCATTTAACTACCCTTATGTTAAGTATATTCTAAAGCTACTAAAACTATAGTGAGCACATAATAATACAATGAACCTATTGTAAAAATTTTAGGGTTTTTGCTATCACCAATCTACCACAAAAAATGCTACAATTATTTAACCTAATCATATTAAGCACTCTCAAATGATTCAATAGCCACTAGTATCAACAAATATATATATATATGAACTAAATACACTAATAGATAGAGTACAATTTTAGGAACCTAACAAAATTAATTTCATAATTTTTGGACATCTACAGAATTTGCTATAATTTTTCACAGATCAGCTCAAAACTAAATTAGAAAAACATTTCCTAATTCGGTGGAAAAAGGAAAATCAATTCTCGCGCGGCCCATCCGAGCGGCCCACATACGCGCAGCGTGCGCACGTGCGGTCCACAACAAGGCCCACGCGAAGCAGGCCCACACACGAGGCGGCCCGCGGCGGGAAAGTCCCTCGCGTGTTAGTGTTTTTTTGCAAAAGAGACCTTGGATTTCCCCCAATTCGCAACCAAGGACCGACACTATTTTACTTACTCCCAAACCCTCTCACTTAACCGCTGGCCTTTCTCTAATTTACCCATGCGCACGCGGCGGCTCAGTTAGCGGCGGCGCAGCGAGCGGTGGCCTAGCACGGCTGCGCCGGCCACCTGGGACCGCCACTGGCCCAACGGTCGGACCGGCCTGCATCCCCGGTTCAACCAGCTACACCTAGCGGCAGCGCAGGGCGGCGGGACGCGCTGGAGCCGGCCACGGCGATATGCGGCCATCCACGACGATGGCGCAACCGCCCCCCCGAACTCAAGCATCAACGAACCCATCTAGCAAGCGAGTGAGCATTAACAGGCTACCATGAGCCTAGCTGCAGTGACCGTTGGCGAAGAGAGTGGCGGAGAGGAGCTGGCCACGTGCAGCCAAGCCGTGTGGTGGCGCACTGTGGTAGCACAGTCGCGTCGGCGGCGCGGTGGAGCTGGTAGCGACTAAGCCGAGGCACACATGATGAAGAGGAAGGCAAGGCACACCTACTGGCGTGGGCACCAGCAGGAAGATGGCAAATTGGCGCCTGGCCGGGCTGTCATCAAGGCGGTGCAGTGTCGGGCGACAAGGAGACATGAGGGCGGAGGTGTGGACGAGCCGAATTAAATAGAGGTGACCTATCTTAGGCGCACTCATGGGCGGAGGTGTTCACGCCGGCCTGGCCCGCGCGCCACTGCGTCATCAATGACGTGACGACGGCGGGTGCAACCACATGCACGGAATCAAACCAGGCCAGGGCGCAGAGCATTGTGGCACAAACATGAGCACGGGGGTACGACGGCAGTGGCAGTAGGTGTGTCACGATGCATGGCGGACTAGGCAGAACGGCAGCGCGTAGGGCGGGCGGCAGCGCGGCATGGTCGCGCGTCAGCAGCGGTGGCCTCACACGGCAGCGCCCATGACTATTCCCGTGGCATACGGCTAGCCCAGCGCGGCAACACACGGGCGCGCGTGAGGCGCACCGACGCAGCGACGTCGACTACTAACGTGCGGTGACCGCGTCCACGCAGGGGAAGCAAACCGAAAACGTGATGTGCACGGATTTTAAAGCTTCTACCATGACCAAACCATTACTCCTAAACATAAACGGTCTTCACTACACTCAAGATGGTATATGAGGCTACTTAATCAAAGCTATAACAATACATCGCTCTTTAACCCAATTCCTCAAAATAGTTTGCTAAACATAGCAATGTCTAACTGTCAACAGACTTGAAAATTTTTCTAAGTTTTGAGTTGAACTCTATTGCAAATTGCATTTCTAAGCTATGGCAAATATTAGCTAGCAAGGTTATTTTTCAACAACAAGTATTTCATCATCTTCTACAAAGTTCACACGACAAACTTTATTTGAGCCACATATATAAGTTCTATAGTAATTTTACTCAATAAAAATTGTTGTGGGGGCTACGACCCCGGATACCCATGCTAGACCACATGGGCTATGCCTCCAGGGGTGGCCCAGC